TGTTTCTAATAAAGTCTAAAATTGACTTAATAACAAGTTCTGGGTAATCAGAAATGACATAATTTGCAATGGCTGTTTTTATATTTTTTTAAGAAGGAAAACATGATAAAGACTTAAAAGATATTTTCAATTACAGTATTCATTCAGCCTTATCACTTAGAACAAGTTTTTTATAAAAAGATAATTTATGCTCTAAACAAATGCAGCACATAAGGAAAATATAACAGACACATTCCATAACGATCCTTACATTTTCATTTCAATACCAGTCCATTCCAAAGCATTTTGATACATAAACATGCAATCACATACAACTGCTAGTTTAATTAGACCTTTCAAGTTACATGCAGTTCCAACTCTCGAGTGCTATTCAAGTAGTCCTTTAGTAGTGCTGTGTGGGGGACTCAATATCAATCAGGTATCAGAACTGTCATGATTGGAAGGTTTTCTCTTTCCCTTTACACGGCAAACTGTTTCCCTCATAAGTGAAGGGCCAAATCAAATATTCTGCAGAATTGTAACAGTACTTCCTAAAACAACCTGCACTAGCGAGAGATTTATTACAGTAGGACAACAGGTAGAGATCTCCCAAAGCAAAGACAACAAGGTTAAAAAAAGATAGTGAACACATTCCAAACAGGGATCAGAGAGACAAGAGGCTACAACTTAGGCGTTGGTTATTTCTCTACTGATTTCTATTAGTTTTTAAAATTTTTCTAGGGAGGGGAAAGAACATGATCAAAATATATTATATTGGCCAGGTGGTGGTAGTAGCTTAAGCCTTTAATCAGAATACTCAGGAAGCAGAGGCAGGTGGATCTCTGTGAGTTCAAAGCCAGCCTCGTTTACAGAGTGAGTTCCAGTTCCAGGACAGCTAGGGCTACACAGAGAACCCGTCTCAAAAACAAAACAAAACAAAACAAAAAAAACCACACATACACACACACACACTATATATATATGTCAAACAAACAACAAAACCAAAAAGGATCTCTATTGGAGGCATATAATTCCATGTTCTCCCTCCCCCTTCTGGATTTTTGAGACAGGGTCTCACCACTTTGCTTGGGTTGGCAATAAACTTTTTTACCAGGCAGGCCTTGACCTATGACCCCCTTCCCTTAGCCTCCTGAGTAGTAGGCTTGGGAAAATATATTTGTGGAAGATTTGGGCATTCTTGCTTTAAGCTGAGTTAAATTTCACGAGAGATAAAGGTCCATGCCTAGCCTGCTTTTGGATTTGCGTGTGACGTCCATTTGTTCCAGCACCATTTGTTGAGAAGCCCATCTGCTGGCTGCCAAATGCAGCAAATTTCTACACAGCAAATACTGTAAGACAGTAGCTGGAGGAATGGTTCAGTGGGTAAAGCACTTGCCATGCAAGCGTGAGACCCTGAATTCAGATCCCCAGAACCAGCATAAGGCCAATGGAGCATCTCCATTTCTAGCATTCCTCTGGGAGGCAGGGATGGGAATTTCTCAGAAGTTCATATATCTGGCATATGCAGCAGCAAATGAGATCTGCCTCAAACAAGCTGGAAGGTGAGGGCCAACCGACATTGTCCTCTGCCTTTCATGAAATCCCACGGCACCCACATACCCATATTCATACAGGTAAGGGGGTGGGGGGGCAGCAGTGCATAAAAACTAAAAACAATGCTTAGGGGTTTTAAAGGAGCCATGAGAAGTGTCCCTGCTTAATTATAATAATATAATTACTAATTAATTAAGATTAATAATTCTATTTATATTAGAAAATAATAATTTTTAAAATATTTAACTGGTGTGAACACCAATAAAACAGTGTAAGGTGATTAAAGTAGGGCTGGAGCGACAGCTCAGCATGTAAGAGTGATTACTGCTCTCCCAGAACTCAAGGATGGTTCCCAGCACCTATGGCAGGAGGTGCACAAACTCTTGTAACTCCAGCGCTAGGGGAGCTAATGCCCTCTTCTGGCCTTCAAGGGCACCTGCACAAATGTGTTCATCCATACAGATACATAAAGACACACTAAAAAAATAAAAAAAAAAAAATACTTAAACTGTGTCAAGGATTGCCTTGTATATGTCAGTCATTTGGCATAAGCTAGAAACTGCCCCCATAAAATCAGGCTGCATAAAATAGGCTTTGATTCCTACCACAGCATAAAACTTGGTATGGGGATACACACCTGTTATTTCAGCACTCAGGAGACAGAGGCAGGAGGATTAAAAGTTAAGGTTGTTGGAAGCCAGTTGAGGCTACATGAGATTGTCTCAAAAAAACAAAACAAAAATAAAAAATCATAAGCAAATGAGTGATTCATTTCACACTGAACACTTAATTAATTTGAAGTTTAAAAAAAGGTGCCCCTCCCCTGACACTTAAGTTATATCTCTGGAGATACATTGTTAAAAGAATCTGAGGAAGGAGGGGCATAGTGAGCACACCTTTAATCCCAGCACTGAGGAGATAGAGGAAGGCTGATCTCTGGGAGTTAGAGGTTAGTCAAGGCTACATAGTGATACTTGATACTTTGTCTCAAAAAAAAAAAAAAAAAAAAAAATCGGGACAATTGATAGTTCATTGTCTTTGGGATGCTATCATTCCCCAGTGATGACTGACTCTTACCACAAAAAACAACCAAAACCAGCTAAACTCTCATGGCTATTATCACAACTGCAATGTAACAAGTAATTTGCTTAGAATCCTGGTTGTAATTAGATCCAAGTGTTTGGGGAAAATGGGGGATGTCCGACAGTGTACACTGTATATCACTAATGGAAACACTAAATTAGAAGCGTGGAAATCTGATCAAGAGATCTGCTGCCATATAATGCCCTGGCTATATGTATATATACATATGTGTGTATATATACATGCATACACACACATACAAACTCCGATCCAGTTTCAAAAGGGCTCATGATGAGCAGATGGAACATCTTTATGTTACCTGGCCAGTAAGTCTAAATACAAACACCTGAAATGGGAAAGTTTGGATTATCAGTTAATCACACAAATGACAAACTGAGTACATCTGAACTCAGTTTTCAAATGCCTTGTCCTTCTTGTAATGAACGATTAGCTTTAGAATAGTCTTTCCTAGGGCTGGAGAGATGGCTTAGAAGTTAAGAGTGCTGACTGTTCTTCCGGAGGCCCTGAGTTCAATTCCCAACAATCACAAAGTAACTAACAACCATCTATAATGAGAGCTGGTGCCGTCTTCTGGCATGCAGAAATAACACTGTATAAATAATGAATAAAATCTTTAAAAAGAAAAATAAGTCTTTCCTTGGCATATTTTGAAGCCTGGAGGCAAAATCTGTTCAGCCAGGGTAATTTTACTATACCCCTTACTTACAGGCTTTGTCTATGGCCAAAGCAGCTATTTTTCTACAACTAAAGCAATAGCCAGGGCCAGGAAGAAAGCAGAGTCAGTGAAGTACAAACTCAAGCCCCAGAATCCAAGTGAAAACCCTGTGCCTGGTGCCATATGCTGGGGAGATGGAGACAGGTGGATATATAGGGTTTGTTGCATAGCCAGCCTAGCCTAATGGGTGAGCTCAGGTCAGTGAGACCCTGCCTCAAAAAGGTGAAGGGCACTTAAAGTTGACCTCTGGCCTCTACACAAACATGCACACACTTGCAAGCACCCACCTATTTAAATATGTAAATATATGTGAAAGAAAAAGTAACATTTGACATTTGTACGGCATCCTGGTTTATCATATTTTATGTGATTGCAAAAAAAAAAAATATCCTCCATTCAAGTAAAACAAGCCACTATCTCTTAACTAGTTAAAGGTCATGCACTAAATTTTGTGAAGTGATTGGAATGAGTAATGGCCACCATAGGCTCATATATTTGAATATTTGGTCACCAGCAGATGGAACTGTTTGGGAAGGATTAGGAAGTGTGACCCTGTTGAAGGAAGTGTGTCACTGGGGCCAGGCTTTGAGGTTTCAAAAGTCTAAGCCATTCCCAGTTAGCCCTGGCTCACTGCCTCCTGCTTGTGGATAAAAGACATACGCGTTCAGCTACTGCTGTAGCACCATGCTCCCTGTCATGATATGAAATAGACTCACCCTCTGAAACTAAAGCCTCTAATACCCTTTCTTCTGTAAGTTGTTGCCTTGGTCATGGTATTTATTTTGAAACAGCCACAGAAAAATTAAGAGTTCATTTCACAACTGAAAGGGTAAACTGTTTCTTCTGCAGTTTTAAATTAAAAAATAACTACGTGTATGTGCACATGATAAGATGTGTTCTTAGAGGTCAATCCCCCAATAGAGTAGCAACTGAACTCTGATCTTCTGCAAGAGCAGCTGACTCCCTTAACCCACTGAGCCCCCTCTCCAGCCCACCTACTGTTTTGTTGGTGGTGTTTTTTGTTTGTTTTTCGAAGTCAGGGTTTCTGTGTGTAGGCCTGGCTGTCCTGGAACTCATTCTGTAGACCAGGCTGGCCTTAAACTCAAAATATTTATCTTCCTTCTGCCTACTGAGTGCTGGGATTAAAGGTGCGCCCGGCCCTACTGGAATTCTTATACCCTGACAACTGGCTTGAAAGAGGAGGAAGGCACATGTGGACACATAGTGAGAAATTATCTAACAGTTACATCTAACACTTTCGGACTGCTGTGTACAGGCTCTCCTTGACTTACAACAGGGTTCAATGTGATGTTACTTTCACATTAAAAAGTTGCCAAGTATTAGGGAGCTGTCATAAATGAAACTATAAATCAAATACCACCTGCCTATCCAAAACAGGCTTTTCACGTGTCTGTTTCCTGCAAGCATTAAACATTGTTTTCAGCTTAATAAATAAATAAATAAATAAATACCACCTGTCTATAGATTCCCAGTAGTAATCTACGGAACCAAAGCAGGCACCAAGAGAAGATGTTTAGTCACCAGCCATTCTCTCCTCCAGCCTAGGTTTCCTTACTTTTCGTATGACTGAAGAGCTAGAAAAAAGACCACTGTGAGTTAAGACTGGATGTAGGCAACTAAACCTTACCTGTCCTGTTGAGTCGTGCCATGTTCATCATCGCTTCTTGGTATGCCAATTCTACATCTTCTTGGGTGACCACTAGCTTAATTTTATTCCATTTTTCAGGCTAGCCATAGGAACACAGGTGAGAAAGAGAAAAGGAAAATGTGATTCATCTTTATTTCTAAATACTTGTTTTCTTAGTCATCTTCTGGGACTGGGGTATGTGTGATATGTGTGCAGAATGCTAGTGATCAAACCCAGGGCCTCACAGATGCTCAGCACCCTGAGCTACACCCGAGTACTGGGAATCTTATTTATCGAGTGTGTGAAGACACAGAAATGCTCTAACACTGCTCTTCTGTGATTAGTGTTCTCCACTGGAACGACCACCGCGCCACTGTCTGCTTAGCCCACATTTCCACAGTGAACTATCAGAGCATGCTGGACCTGTAACCCTCTCTTCTGCATCAACACTGGTCAAGGGCTGAGGTGCAGTTCAGGCAAGCACTTGACTAGTACTCACAACCTTGAGTGCTGTAACAAAAACAGAATTCTTCCTATGTCCTTGGCTCACTTCCCCATCTCCTCTATTAGGTAAATGGCTTTTATTTTTTACATTATACTTTTTATTTTAACTGACTCCTGCAGTGAAGCTATCTTGATGCAAATAGATGTGAAATTTTCAACTGTCCATGTGGATAACAGCCTTGGGTGAGCAAACAAGGTATCATCAAAAAGACAAAAAGGCCTTGTCTGATTTTCAAAGAACTTACAGCACCATGATGTAAGGTTCACGGCACAAAGATAGCATGGACCACTAATCAATCATGTAATTCATGCATTCATTCACCTGCCTTGAACTACACTATAGACAATACCCAGGGTGCTGGGATGAGGACTTAGTGGTAGAGCTCGCCTAGCATACCCTTAACCCCATTACTCCCACCTCTCCCAGAAGCCACTCTGATATCTGTACCTGTCACTCCTTGACTGTCAAAAACCAATATCCTCAGACTATAGATTCTAAAACTATTTGACAATTACATCTGACCTTTATTAAATAACAACAAAACCCAAAACAAAACCAACCCCAAACATTATGTTGCTACACAGTATGTGGAACTTGCTTTTTAAAATTCTGAGTACTCACCAAAAATAAATAAATAAATAAATAAATAATAAAGCAGTGGTGTCTGAACCAGAAGCCCTGCGATTTCCTAGTGACTATATCAAGCTGATAAATGGCTGATAAATGATAAGTTTTTATTACTCTTTCCCAACTACTTCTCAAGATGGTGGTTATAGAAATTAAACCCACCATGACATGAGGGGAGAGCAAAAGTTTAGTGACTGGAGCTGTCAACAACAAAACCCCAGAACGACAGCTCTGTGGGGTAACGCTCAGGAGAACCAGCCCTCTTCATTCTCCAGGAAAGAGCCACACATCTAAATGTTTTCAGTTACTAATCAATGGAAAGGCAACACTAGCATATCACAACAACCCAGACCCTACGACTGACATGTCAACAATTAACCCTATTTATATCATTTCAATCCTGGGCTCTCTTCTCAGCGCGCACTTGGTGACTAACAACTGTTCTAGAGGGACCCAGCGCCCTCTGCTGGTTTCCGAGGGCACTGCATGTGTGTGGAGCAGACTTAAATGTAGACAAAACACCCATATACATAAAATATAAAAAATTAATGAATTTGAATTCATGTCCCAGAATTCTCGTCCATATAATATGATGCCTCAAGATGGGCCTTAACTCCTTCAAACATTACATTATTAAATTTTCATTTACAAGAATATGGATAATCCATCTAAGGACTTTACTGATTAACTTTACAGGGGTAAAAATTAAAGTTTTCACTTCCCAAACCTTCCACCAACTTAAAACAAAACTTTGAAACTGAAAAGCAACTCTGAGAGCTAACTGTTCAGCTCACCTCCACCCTCACTTCTAAACAGCTCTTTACTTACAATATCCAGCCACTGGTGTACAGCAACTGCAACTTGTGTCCCCAGCGGTTTTGTCAGGACCAGCACATCCCCTGGTACTGCGTTATCTGGCCTGAAGAAAAGAAAAAAAGAGCATGTTCTAGTCAAACTAACCAAGGAAACAAATTCAATTTTAAAGCAAAATGGGAAATTTTGCTAAAGAGCATTTTTTGTACTTTATTTTTGATGTGTGTATGTATGTGTATGAATGCACAAGTCTATGAATTTGGGAGAAACTAGAAGTCAATATTGGGTGTTATCTTCAATCTTTCATCACCTTATGTTTTTGGTAGAAATAAGTTGAATTAAGATGTAAGAGTTGGCCAATGGGAAATTAGAGCTAATGCAGGCAGTAATTTAATTAATACAATTTCTGTGTGATTATTTCGGGGGTTAAGCTAGCCGGGCGCCCAGGACAAAAAGCAGGTCCTCTCTCCTTCTACACAGAAGCAGGTGGATCTCAGTGAGTTTGAGGCCAGCCTGGTCTACAAAGAGAGACTTACTATAGATATAATCTACATGGGAAGTAGAAAGTAGAAAAAGACAAGATCTCCTGAGTAAATTGGGAGCATGGGGACCTTGGGGGAGGATTGAAGGGAGGAGGGAAGCAGAGAAAAATGTAGAGCTCAATAAATATCAATGTAAAAAAAAACCCGGGAAATGTGACCGATGTGCTCAGCTTCACACTTATGAGTAAGACCCAAACCACCAAGCAGAAGCTGGGCCCAGTGCTACCCACTTGTCATCTGAGTTCCGTGGAAGACGACGGCAGGAAGACTCGAGCCTGCTTTACACAGAAGCTCTAAATAACAACTGAGAGAGGAGAGTGTGTTCAAGTGAGCAAGGGCTGGAGCTCAACAGCAAGGCCATTTCCTTACACACACACACACACACACACACACACACACACACACAAACAAACCACCAAACAGAATAGCAAAGATTTCAGTCTGTTAATCCACTGTCAACAGGATATGGAGAATCTGGTCTATTTGTTCACTGCTGTGGAGTGGAGCCTGGTAGAGCCTTTATGAAGGGCAGGCTCCCATCATGACTGGCACATCCCACCTGACCCAGCGATTCCTAAAACTCGTCCCAATGACCTGCTCTACGGCTACTCCTGGGTGCTAGTTATATTATCAAAAGAACCAAACATAACCAAAATGTCAACAGCAAATACACAGAACTAGTAAGAGGATGTCTGTGATGGCAACCTTGGGGACAGCACAGATCAGGTGGGAATTCTTCTTACATCTTTTAAATTCTGACTCAGGTTAACATAAACATACTACTGACTCATCAGAAACTGAAGAGCCAGCAAGATGGCTCAGTGGGATGGGTTCAGTCTATAGGACTCATGTGACAGGAGACAATCAACTCCAGCAAGTTGTGTCCCATTCCCCCCAAAATAAATAAATAAATAGTAAAATAAATGGAATTTGTACTAACTTCAAAAAATAGGACAGGGTGCCTTTCCTTACATGTTTTGGTTGTGAGTCTATTTTTTAACAGCTCAGCCACCTCTCCAGGCTGAGGGTGCCTTTTCTTAATAACAAAGATGGAAAGTGACCAACTGTGTTGAGATCCATCTCAAAGAATGCAGAGAAATGCTCTCCCCACCTCAAAGAAAGCTACAAGATGTCTGAAATCACCAGTCATCAAAGAAACACAAATCAAAACCACAGTGGGATGCCACCTACACTCCCTATGCTGGCTATGAGCAGAGTGACATCGCAGAACAACTTCCAGAAGGGATGTGGGGTGTGTGCATGCATACACAAAATAACAAACTGCACCTCAAGTGCGTTCCTAGTAGTAAGAGAAAACAACCTGAAACTCCAATCAATGAGCAGAACTGTGCTATATACAAACAAAAGCTTATTTGGCCATCAAAACGCATTATGGAGTCAGGTGGTGGTGGTGCACACCTTTAACCCCAGTACTTGGGAAGCAGAGGCTGGTGGATCTCTGTGAGTTCAAGCCCAGCCTGGTCTACAAAGCAAGTTCCAGGACAGCTAAGGCTACATGGAGAAAAACCGTCTGGGAAAACAAAACAAATCAACAAAAAACTATATATATAAAAAGATGTTCTACAGAGTATGGTTCCATATATAAAGGTGCTCAGAGCAGGCGAATCCTTACAGACAGGCTTGTTGTGAGGAACTAGAACGTGTTGGGTGCTGAGAGGATGATGGCTGCTCAAGCCTGTACCCACAAAGCCGATTTTAAATGCTGACATGGAGGTAGAGCTCAGCGGTAGAGTACTTGCTTAGCAGACATAAGAAGCTGTGTTTAATCCCAAATACAACAAACAAAACCAAACCAGAAAAGATGTCAAGGCAGCACTTACCTGCAATTCCTGTACTGAGGAGGCTGAGGCAGGAGGATCATGAGTTTGAGGCCAGTATGAGATACAGAATGACACCTTGTCTCAAAAAGCCAAATCAAAAAAATAGACAAATAAAATGCTGAATAACGTGGCATATATTTTTGCTAAGTGAAATTTACAAGGTCTAAAATTGCTGAAAAATAGGATCAAAGTTCCAATATATGCTACATAATCTATGAATATAAAAGTATTCTATGTTAATATACTAAATGAACCCAACCAAGATGTATATGAAGAACTAGCTGTTTAAGGGACCCTGGTGATTCTAGACTCTGGGCAGGCCAAAATTCACTAAACTGCACACTTTGAACGTGGACTTGTGCAGCAAGTGAATGACACCTTACTGTATCCTGAGAGAGAACAAGACAAAGACAGGTTCCGACATAAAGGCCAACTTACATGATAAATTCATTGGGCTGGCAGACAGTTGTGGCGACTCCTCCCAGAACAATCCAGGGGTTTAACACTGTTTGACCGCCAGTTACAGAGGTTCCCGCTTCCTCTGCCGCATCTTTAAAACCCTGTATAATTAGCGGTATCACTTTATCCCTTTCCTAGGGTTTAAAAGGACACAGATGAAAAGTCAAGCAATTCTGTTCAAAACCCAGAAAAGATGGTTCTACATCTGTAGTTATCAAAAAAAATTAAAGAAAAAACCCTCAGAGAACCAAAAGCCAACAGACAGGGTAGGGAGTGTTTCTAGCAATCAGCATGTTATCAGATGCAGCAGATGCTGGAAGGTGTTATAGGTACAAAGCAAACGGAGCAGGTAAGAGGAGGGAGCATAAAGCCATTTGCCCACAGACTGATGACATTAGAAGTCAGCTCTCAGCCAGTCCTGAAGAACACCAGACAAGCTAACTACACAGACACACGGAGCCCTGTTTTCAAAGAGGCTTTTGTTTGGTGAGGAACTGTGAAGTAACATCCTCAGCAAAACCCTTGTCAGGACAACTAGCTACTACTGGTCAAAGCACACTCCACTAGGCAAAAAAAAAAAAAAAAAAGGAACAGAAAACTGTGTTATCATGACAAACTGGTTTGGGGGGGGCATATGGAAAGATAATGGAAACAAAAACACACCTTGCCAAAACAACCTTAATAATGGGGCTGGGGAGATGGCTCAATAGTTAGGAGCAGACTGCTCTTGCAGAGGACCCGAGTCTGGTTCCCAGCACCCACATGGCAGCTCACTTCACAACTGTCTAACTACAATTCCAGACACACACATGGTATACTTACATACATGCTGGCAAATACTCATGCACATAAAATAAAAATAAGTAAAAATAACCTAAACAGGAATCTACCCCTGGTTCAAAGAACAGGTAAAAAGGACAGGCTACTGGGTGGTACGTGGGGGCCTTGGCCCGCAACAGAGACCACTTGATATCGAAGTGCCCTCAGTTCTGAGCCAGCAGGGCAAGGCCTGATTCACAGGCCTGGTACTATTAGTATAGCCAAGCTTTATTAAGTCTCCACAAAAAAATATTTAGCTTTTTGCCAAGAGAGGAAAGGAGGAAGCAGAAGAAAAAGAGGCTAGATACTCTTATTTTAATTTATAAATGCCCCAAAGTGAAGAGCTGCAATACTCGAGGCCATGTTTGGAAATGTAAAATGAAATCAAACCAATACCAGTGAGTGAGCCTCTGACTTACCCTGTCAGTCATCTTATTGCTGACTCCAAGGAGCATCAGCATATTGTCACACTCCGTGACGCCCATGGCATAGAGGTCACTGAGGACATTAGCACATGCTATCCTGCCCTAGGGAGAGAGCAGAGACGTGAGAAAGCAGTCAGGGATTTCCCATCTGTAGAACAAAGATGGAGTCTACAACACAGTGGCCTCCAAGAACTTGGGGCTTTCCAGGAAGGGCAGCTCCCAGGACAAGACTCTCAGTTGGTTACCTTCACTTAACTGCCCAGCCACCCACTCACCCAGCTCCTCTCACTAGAGTAGAACACAGAATTCACATTCTTCCTCATACTATGTTTCAGAGCCCTGGCTGATGATGGGGTGGGGTCAGGATGAGATGCAGTAGCACCGACGGTCCTTCTGAGAGACCAGAGTGAGAGGACTGATTCAGTCACCAAGAGGTGAACTTGGAAACCCACACTTAGCAGACCACAAGGAAGGGCTGCCTTGGCTACTATAAAATAGGAGATGGGTTTTGTGTTATTAGATTAAGAAACTTTTGCAGCTTCCTTTTCAAATTGTAAGAAATTAAGAAAATAATCTTGTTTGAGAAACAAAAATAAGAGAAATAAGAAACATTCAGGTTTAAAGTCAGATTGAAAAAAAGCATTTCCCAGGATGGATTCTGGTAGCTTTGCCACTGGAGGGACACATAGGTGTGCTGCTTTGCAGGGAATATACTTCCTAACAACCTGTTCACTCACACTGTACCCAAGAGAGAAATGTCCCCATTTTCTTACCCTATGGCCTGAATTCCTACATGTAAAGCTCGATCCCTGTGTCCTTGCCACCCAGGAAGGACACCTGGCATTTTAAACAGGTGGGATATTCCCATTTATTCACTGGCTTCTCTTGGGTGGTAGAGAAGTAGGGCTAAAGAATAAGCAGAATAAAAGGCAGCTTGCTGGCTGTAAGCATATAACAAATGACTGGAAAATGTGTCTACACAGTAGCTAGAGCTTCGTGTGTGTGCAATGCATGTCTTCCTTAATCACTCGCTACCTTATTTTTCAAGACAGAGTCTCTTATTGAACCTGGATCTCAACAATTCAGCTAGCCTGGCCGGCCAGCAAGACCCAGAAGCCTGCCTGTCTGCTTCTTATGCCTGTGGGCATAAGGACTAGATGTATGTGTTGTCTAAACAGCTTCTTAAATAGGTGCTGGGGTCTTCACACTTACATGGGAAGTGCTTTTCCCACTGAGCCATCTCCCCTGTCCAGTAGTTAGAACTTTAATTCAGTGATCTGCTAGATTACAGTGTGGCATATAATACAGTACTAAGTAGGCATGCAGGTAGCAATACATTTACGCTAACATTTACAAGAATAAAAGTTCAAGAAATCCAATTGTTAGTAAGCCAGGTATGGTGGGAGTCTGAGGCTCTACAGAGAATTCTAAGACAGTCAGGACTACACAGAGAAATGCTGGTGTATGTGTATATGTTGGGGGGAGATGAAAGTCCAATTGTGATGAAATTTACAAGTTCTTTTTTGTGGGAGGAAACATTAAAAATTAGTGTTATTACAAAGTATAGCAACATTTCCAGCCAGAAAAACCCAGGAACAGTAAACTTTATAAATGTCAGAAAGCCAGGTAAAAGGAAAGAGCTCAGAGACCACAGCTGCTGAATGCACTTTCAGGCATAAAAGCAGCAGAGAGACGTCCCTGTTCTACCTGATACATGCAGTGTCAAGTGTGAGAGGAGACATGTCAGCCTGCCGTGACTGCAGGAGTCAGGGGAGGGTAATATAATTGAGATATAGCAAAAGTGGAAAAACACAACAAACACAAAACTCAAACCCAAAAGCACACACAAAACCCAGCCAAAATCAAAACCAAATGCATAAAATAGTTCCAATTACAAAAATGCACAAGACCAAACTTACCATCATGTAGGGGTCGTCGACAATAGGATAAATGTAATCTGTGGTTTGAACCAAGGAAAGCCCACCATGCCTCAAAGGAATGACACAAGTATCCATCCCAATGCCTGGGAAGATGGACGTTGCCAGCAACCAAAAAAATAAGAAGAAAAGCATTTAATCTTTTTTTTTTAAATATTTATTTATTTATTATGTATACAATATTCTGTGTGTGTGACTGCAGGCCAGAAGAAGGCACCAGACCTCATTACAGATGGTTATGAGCCACCATGTGGTTGCTGGGAATTGAACTCAGGACCTTTGGAAGAGCAGGCAATGCTCTTAACCTCTGAGCCATCTCTCCAGCCCAAGCATTTAATCTTGTATGAGCAACATTTTGCAGGAAGATTTCTACAATAAGACAGCAAACTCCACACTGCCAGCTAAACTATGTATGTGCCATCAAGAATCATAACTGAAATAAATGTAAAACATAACCAGCATAGGATGGAAACATGAATAAGTAACCAAGATGTAATATGACATAAAATTTGAACCTTACTAAGGCCTTGGACATTTTGTTTTCTTGTATTATTTTATATTCCTAAATCATTTGATGATGTCTTTTTTCTCCCCCTTTTCTATATTGTTATTCGAGATAAGAGTCTATGTAGCTCTGGCTAGCCTAGATTCATGTAGACCAGGCTAGTCTCAAACTGTCAGAGATCAGACTGCCTCTGTCTCCCAAGTGCTGGGAATAAAGGCATTTGCCACCACACCTGGCTTATAAGAACTTCTTTTAAGATGACAACAATACAAATGGAGCTGTTGTTATTTTACTGATAGTTATTTTGAAATATTATTGCCTAGATGTTGTTATAACATACTAGATATTGTTCTATTTTCCCAAAAGTATGTATACTATATTTCCATATAGAAAACGTCAGTTAGTATATAATATAAATATAATACATTTAGCCTAAATGAAATGGTAAAGGACAAAGCAGGAATTCAAAGTTTCTAACCAAGTGTGTTATAAATACCATATCTGTATAATTCAAGTATTTTAGTGTCTCCAAAGAACTTTCTCTCTACAGCATATTTTTGTATGTGCACATGTATGCACCCAGAGGCAGAGGACAACATCTGTTTTCTTCCCCAATCTTACTCTCTACCTTGCTTCTTGAGACAAGACCTCTCACTGGACCTAGACATAACCAATTCACCTTCAGCTAGGACGGCTGGCCAGTGAGCCTGTCCTATCTCTTTTAGATAACATGGTACTATATTGCACTTGGTTTAGAAATAACTCCAGATGCCCTCTGGAGTGACAAGCTGGGGATTTAGTAGATGCTGGAAAAATTTTTCGAAAACTCAGAATCTTATTAAAAAGACAGCCAGCCCTAGGTTATGACTGACAATGTGCTGGTTATTTTTTGTCAACATGACACAATCTAGACATCCCTGGGAAGAGAGAAATTCAGTTAAGGAATTACTTTCATCAGACTGGCCCAGTAGGCATGTCTGAGGGGCATTTTCTTGATTGCTCACTGATTGATATAGGAGGGCCCAGCCCACTGTGGGTAGTGCCATTCCTGAGCCAGTGGCCCGGGGTGCTTAAAAAAGCAAGCTGAGCAAGCCAGTACACAGTACTCCTCCCGCTTGGCATCCCGTGGTGAAGAACTGTAACCTGAAAGCCAAACACCCTTTCCTCCCCAAGCTGCCACCAAGATGGACATGGTGTTCATCATGGCAACAGGAAAGCACACTAGGGCCACATCCCTTTTCCATAAGGAACAAACAGTATGCAGTTGAGGCTTCTACTCTACTGTTATGCCACCAAAGCAGCCATAGACAGTATGTTCACACGTGAGGGAGGCTGCATTCCAGGGTGTTTTATTACAAACACATGGCAGGTCAGATTTGCACCTGGGACCACATGTGTGAACACTAATATAAAGGAGAGACCTGGGTAAGCTGGATCAGAGGCCAGAACCACTGCATGGAGTTCAGACTGGACAAGCCGAGAGAAGCACGTGGAAGAGGAAACTGCCCTGAAACTTGAGTATGTAGCTGACAGCAAGAGCTCAAGGTGCCATCCTGGACTGTGGATGGTAGTTAAGTTGGCAATACATGTAGGGTCAGGACATACATGACTGACAAGAGAAGATGAACCTCTACAGAGAGGATGCAGGCTTCCAGGCATATTACCAATAGGGCTTCATCACAAAAAGGGAGTTAGGAAAGTATCTGGGGGAGGCTGGGGCTATAGCTGAGAAGTAGAATAGGCCCGTCTAGCATTCTCACAGCCTGGGTTTGATCGCGCGCACGCACACGCACACACACACACACACACACACAAACACCTCGCTGAAACTGTAAAGAATGGATAAGTCTGAGATGGGTCTTGAAAAACTAGAGCTTCAAATTGAGAGCCAGGGATAGTTCAGGTAGAGGAACAGGGGTCCTGGTCCTGGGCAGGTTAAATGCAAGACTAAGAAGTTCAGAACAAGCGATGGGAAATTCTAGGTCCTCTCAAAATAACTGAAACCATGTATCAAGAAACGGAATACACTCATCATAATGTATACCAGTAACACATGCTTGACAGCTGTCTCTCCAGTTCTTAACATTCCTTTATTTAGTATGCTGGCTAATTTTATGTGAACTTTACACAAGCTAAAGTCATCTGAGAGGAGGGAACCTCAACTAAGAAAATGCCTCCACAATGGGAAAGTTGGCCCCACACCTCACCATGCCTGCTGGAGAGCTGGCCCTGACCCTTGCCTGAGGTAGGAAGTCCTGGTGGAGGCCCAAACCCAGGGCCATGGTTTGGTCCATCCCAACATCTACCCCATCTATGACCTGCTGAAGCGTGTGAAGGGACTGGTCCTGCAGAACCACAGCTGGAAGGTCTCCATGTCTGGGGCAACAGCAGGATATCTGAAGTTTCAATAAGGAAGGGTTCAGCACTGATGGTGTAGCAGAAGCCAGAGGCCTTGAACCAGACCAACAACTCATCACAGCGAACAATTGCAAGCAAAAAGTATACTGTGTGACACACCACAGCTCTCAATGCCACTATGACAAATGACTATATTATCATGGAGAGGTGGGAAAAGACAGAGGAGCAAAAGTTTTTGCTATTATTTTGTTTCTTTTTGGTTTTTTTTTTGGGGGGGGGGGGTGGCGCTACAGGGTGAAGCCGACATGGAAGGACTGGGAAATGAGTGGAATTGGGGTACATGATGTGAACTTCCTAAATAATCAAAATTTTAAAATTACGTTAAGAGAAAAAGAGCCTCTGCATCAACTCCAGCCTGTTTTACATCATGCATATAATAAAATACACCCAAAGAACTGTGCTTCAGAGCATAGAATTTCTTCTGAGCTCTGTGTTTGATAAAGGGAAACCACTAATGATAGAGAGAATTGAGAAAAGAAAACATCATTGCCCTTGGCTCCACTTGGCACTCTGGGGTCAATTTCAAATTCATGCTGTCTTCTTGCCTTTGTGTGTATGTGTGCAGATGATGTGTATGGATACAGATGCACATGTGTACATGCATGTGTAGGTCAGAGCACACCCTCAGGGTCAGCTCTCAGCAAAGTCACTGGACTGTGAATCAGCAAGTAGGCTAGGTTGGCTACAAGTCCCCAGGAACACACTTGCCTTTTCCGTATCTGCCCTGGGATTACAAGCGCACTCCAATACTCTCTCTCTCTCTCTCTCTCTCTCTCTCTCTCTCTCTCACACACACACACACACACACAGAGAGAGAGAGAGAGAGAGAGAGAGAGAGAAAGAGAATTTTAAAGAAATGGATGCAGAAGCTCAAACTCACTGAGGTCCTCAAACTTTACCAAATGAACTATTTCCCCAGTCTTCTCTCCTGAGCCTGCAGTAGTCAGTAGTCTTGTGTGGTCCACCCTCAAGTTTTCAACCCAAACATCCTGTAAAGGATGGCACTGTCCTTAAAGCAACACCTTCAATAGGTCAATGAAGCCACATGACATTGTAGAGGCCATTTGAGAAAACAGAAAGGAGTTTCTGCTTATCCTCAGCCAACGGGAAAATAGTCTTACTGTAGTATGATGTCACACATATACTCTATAATTTAACAGTTGCCAACCACATACCCTGATGCCTTCAAATTCTTCCTTTCAATAAGAGACATTACTAATTACACCAAACAAAGCAACACGGGGAAATCTGGTATTGACAGCTGACCACACTTCTGGGTGGCACTGTATCAAAGAGATAGTATACATACCAAGCCGTGGCATAACAGCTCCCAGAAACTGCTCATCTTCTTGGAAGTGGTTCTCTTGTAAAGATTCCAGCAATTTCTGCAAGACATCTTGGGGCACTTTGCAGCCTGTGCCTTTCAGTTCAGTAAACCTGGTTAGGCGGAAGCTCTTGTCCAGTTCATAACTTTCCGGGTTAAAGGACTCCCGAGTAGACATGGTTCTGGGGCCACACTCTTCACAGTTCAGCCCCTCCCCTCCCTCTCTTTTGATCCACTGCGCTTTCTACTTGGGATCCACCTAGGCACCAGCAAAACACAAAAAGACATTGTTAAAAGACTCTGAACTGTATCTGTCAGGAATCAAGTGAATGAACACACATTAGGGAAGGTACGAGGACTGGAACTGCCTAGACCACAGGGAAATACTTGTTGGTCAAGCTGGAGTACCCGATGATGGGTACCATCATGGATACCTACTGAAGCCCTGAGGCGGGAGTGTGGTTATAACGGTGGCTCCCCCTGCCACTTGGGCGGTTAACTAAAGTTCTTCTGGGTCCATGGCTAAGAGAACTAATATTCACTATGTAATAGTGAACGTCTATACTTCAGAAACCAGCGGTGCTAGCTACAGTGACTTTTCTGGAAAACTTCTAGCTGTCTTTCTCTCGCCATCAGAAGCTGCAGAAAGTGGGCACAGATGCAGCCCATGGATTGTTTTGTTTTGGTTTTTTTTTTTTTTCAATTGAGACAGAGCCCTCTACATAGTTCTGACTGTCTTGGAATTCACTATGTAGACCAGACTGGCCTCACAGGGATGAGCCTCCCTTTGCTTCCCAAATGCTGAGATTAAGGGATCCACCATTACACCTGGCAAAATTCTTCAAGATCCTAAATTCTAATTTTAAAAACAACACTGTGCCAAACTAACAGTCTTGAGAAGTCACTGAAGAACACTACTTAAAAACAAACAAACAAACAAGAAAACACCCAAACACTTCCAACAGCTGCAAATACAGTAAAGTCTGTGTTCAGGAGGGTGCATGTAAAGTTCTCTGATGTTCTGATGCTTTTAGCATTCCTAGAAAGCAAACATCCCGCCCAACAATCCAGCACACATACCATTAACTAAACACACTACTCCTCATTCCTAGCTCGTTACAAAATGAAACAGTATCACACGAAATCACTAGTATTACAGGTTCTGGGTACCACTCACTGCACTTCTGGCACATGCTCTTCTGTTTGCAGCCTTCCATCCAAATCAAAATTGGTAAGTGCTCCCGGGGTTTACAAACTTTCTGACTGATGCTTTATTGGGCATAGGATTACATACACCCTAAGTTTTAGGGCCGATTTCTCCTATAAAATTTATGATTGAGAACATAATTCCCATTTACAGAGTTTTCCATCCCCCGGGAAGCATATCACTCATTTAAAATAAATTTCACAAAGCCCAAATTTGGGCAGCAATCCAAACGGTCGTTACAAACATAACGTGAGCAATGATTTCAGCGGGAAACTACACAGACTTCGCACATCATTCAAAGAAGCCAAACTTCTCTTGCGGACAGGATGAACCGAGCACGTTAGAGAGATGGGAATGTTGAGGCTAGTTTGAAAAAATGCAAATTACAATTCAAGTTCGAAGAAAAGTTTGGAAAGGGAGGAAAAAAGTCTTGCATTTAACCCTACGTCAACTCTACCAGGTACAAAAACGGAAAACTGCATTTCATAAGGAATCTTTTCTTCCTACCTCCAATCCTATGCCCTCAAGGCAAAGGAAGGAAAGGGATTCTGAAGAGTCCCTTCCTTTTACACGTATTTTTCTATACTTTCTGATTAGGAAAGTTTAAAAAAACAAAACACCTTACATCAAGGAAACTCAGTTCTAAAACTCAAGTCTAAGGAGACCTAAATCACACGGGCTTAACCGCAAAGAAAACTCGAGCTATTTGGGGGATGAAATTGGGACGTGCTTTGGGGGGGGGGGGAGTAAATCCGACCTGGAAGCCACATGTTTACACCTTTAAAACAATGACATGAATATTTAAAGATCGCGTTTAACCCCTTCGCTCCCGCACGCGGGGCGGGCTCAGGCAACAGGGCGCAGCGGGGCAGCAGACCTACCTCACCGCCAGGCCCCCGGCCCCGAGCATGCACACAGGCCCGGGAGCCGCGTCGTGCCTGCCGAGGCCCCGCGCCCTCCATGCGGCCGGACGCGGAGGATGCCACCCAGGGGACACCTTAAATCGCGGGCTGCCGCCTTTAAAGGCACGGCAGGCGCGGGCCGCGTCCTTTGTACCGTGCGGCGACGCGGGCACGGCCATGCCACGCCACAGGCCCGGCGTCGCCGCAGCCGTGGTGACCGTCGCCGGCGGGGACCGCAGAGACACGAGGGCCGGGTGGGGGCGGGGAGGCCCGAGGCGCAGCGCCAGGACACCGGAGGCCACGGCGCTACGCGCGCGCGCGCGGGCTCCCCGGCCGCGCCGCCACACAAAAATGTCGGCGGGCGAAAAGATTAACCCCTGCGTGGCCGCCGCCGCCCTCCCCCTCCGCTCCTCCCTCCTTTCCCGGCCCCGCGTGCCGCGGCGGCGACGGCGGAGGAGGCAGCGGCGCGGGCGGCGCTTCTTTTTAAAGCGGCCCCACCAAACCCTGGGCTCGGCCCCTCTCCAGGCAGGGCGCGCGAAAGGCCCCGGTGCACGGCTCCCCGGCCGTCCCGGGCGGCTCGGAGGGGGATTTGCAACGGCCGCGCCGGGCCTGCGGCCCGATATTCCCCTTTAAGCCTGCTGTCTCGCCCCCCCCTCGCCAGGCCCGCCGCTTACCGGCTCGCTTTGCGCCCTCCGCCTCCTCCCGAAAACGGGCCGCGGCGCTCCCACAATGCACCGGGCGCGCCGGGCTCCCTTAAGCGTCGCCTGAATAAAAATGCTGCTCCCGGTGGCGGCGGCACGGCCCCGCGCTTGGACGCCGCGTGGAGCTCGGCCTAGGCTGGGCGCGGTCCTCCGGGAACCGGGCCGCCGCGCTCCCGCCGGCCGGGCGCGCGAGGGTCCCTTTAAGAGCGGCCACCTCCCTTTAAGAGGCGGCGGGCCGGTGGCCTGAGCGACTCGGTGTTGCTGGTGGCGGTGGCGGCGGTGGTGGTGGCTGCGTGCGGCCCGGGAAGGGGGCGGGGGCGCTGTGCAGAGGCCCGAGCGCGGCAATGATTGGTCTCGGGGGAGGGGTGGGGGGTTGCAAACCCAAGGAACGGTGGCATCCGTTGCATGATCCCAAAAAAAAGAGGGGGGTAGATTGATTTCAAAAGTTGCGAGTTGCATTTGTAGCAACCTTGAGTGATGGGGCCACCTACTTTCCCACTCCACCGATCCGCGGGAAAGGACCAGAGTGTTTTTTGCACAATCTGGCCGGGTGCGACCGCTGCAACACCCACGGGACGCAGTACCTGCTCCCGGATCTCTGCTGCTTCGAGACAGTGACCGTGGGAACAATTTGCAGAGGCGTGCAGGAGCCAAGGACAAACGCCTTAGCTCCAGTGAGACATTTGAAAAATCAACTTAAACCCGCGCTTCATTCTCAGTGACTCCCATCTTTTCCTCATTCTATTGTTTAAGCGTAGCTCCGCAGTTCATGCGAGTCCCCGTGGAATGTGCAATTGCCCTGTAAAGTTTCTTGAATATTTGATGCGCATTTGGTGGGATTTGGGGGTTATATTGCCCGGTTGCATCATTTGTTCTTCCCGTGTCCTAGTAAACATGGCAGACTAATACCGTGTGCTTGAATTGACATTGGTGATGCGGTTTCACTTCACGAAGTAACTTCAGATTTCCGACTTTGTAACGCGTTGCGGATGCAAAGTGCCTTCATTCGAAGGACTTCCCTGGAAAGCTGAGCAGCGCGAACTTGGTTTGGGCTACGTTCTCGTGTTCCAAGTTATTTGAGAGCAGAATCGTTGGGGGTAACCGAACAGGGCTTTTATGGCTGCTTTAGGTTTGCACTCCACACAGATGTCCTTTTCATCCCCGAAGTTGCCACTTTCTTAGGGCTGGAATCTAGGATGCCAAGTGTGGCCAGATGGACGCAGGCGCCTCCTGTCTTTGTGTCTTTTCTCCACAATGCGTTTGGGAGAATACAGCAGCACCTGGGCTCGGTAGCGTTAGATTTCTGAACATCGAACATGGAGTTTTCTGTGAATGGTCAGGAGAGAGGGCGCAAACACAATCACCAGGTACCACTCTAGGACTCCGGAACCAGAGGAAAAGAGTTATAAGGATACCTTTGTCCCTTTCTGCCTTTTAAATGTGAGTTTGCGTTTTTGAACGATGTGACTTTTTTTTTGATCCTCAGTTTTAGAAAAGTGATTCTATTTATTTGTTTTGCAGAAGGTTTCACGATGAAAGAGAGAAAAAGAAAAGCTTTGGGATGTGGAGGATTCACGACACAGCAGAGGTCAGTAGAGATTTGTGTGTCACCACGAGGAGTTTTAGCTCTGGGATTATGTTAAAGGATGCTCCTTCCCAGCGGAGATGAAGAAGCCATGCTCTAGTTAGGGGGTTATTGTGCTAATGAAACGGTGCTAAGTCTGCTCATGGATTTGAACGGAGAGTGAGGGGGGAGCCACCAAAGGAAAGGATTTGATGTGACTTAATGTGCACGGAAGAGAGAAGTAAGCATCAAATCCCCCAGTTTTTAATTTTGGGAAGTGGATGACTCATGAGTGAGTGATACTTCTGAGCGGAAGCCACTGGGAAGCAAACAAGTTTTGGGACTAAGTGCAGCCTTCCAGGTGCTGGGTTCTATACCTGCTGAATACTCCAGGTAATGGAGAAGCCAGTTTGGCATTTGAGAGGCAAATCTCCATGTCATCAGCAAGTAAATGATACCTTAAGCCTCAAAGAGAGGTAGGATTAATGCAGAGGGAGATCTCCGGAAGGAGCACAGTTGGAAGTGCAAGACCTGGGTGAGCCAAGGCTCATCCCTGCCTGTAGGTAAGCAAGTACCTCCAGATGCATCCCTTTCTCCCCCTGACCATGGGCTGGAGAGCTTCAGCAGCTGGGAAACAATTCTCTGCTTCTCACAGTCCTGGGGATGGAACCCAGGACCTCAGGCGTGCTAGGCCAGAGTTCTACCTCTGAGCTCTACACTCTAGCCCCAAGACAGTTCTCTGACTCATCTGGAGCAGCACCAGACATGTGACTAGCTAATCCAGTGGGCCACTGTCCCTCCCTCCTGTGCCCCATGATTCCTTTCCAACATGTATTACTTCATTACCACCTTCCCGCCAAGCCTTTTTCCTGTCAACCTGTTCTTCTGAAGGTTCACCTGAAGAGCTAGCTCCTCAGAAGCCCATTCCAAGGAACCACCTCCCTAATATCCCCAGATCCTACTGACTCCATCTGAAATGGAGTTCCTCTGGTTTAATAAGCTAAGATTTATGAAAAATAAGAATTTACCAACTAACCTCCAAAAAGTTACATCTGGCAGGTGCAATGAGTTGGGTTGTATCCTCCCATCCTCAAAAAGATATATTAAGTCACACCACACTGGCACAGTACATACGAATGTGACTACATTTAGAAATAGGGCTAGCCGGAGTTTAACTTCCCAGCACATGTGAGGCTCTGGGTTCCAGCCCTAGCAATGTCAAAAACAGTAGTACAAAGGAACTCTTGTAGAAATGGGGTCTTTGCAAATGAAATCAAGTTAAAATCAATCAGGATAAATTCAGATGGGTCTTAAATCTAATGGCTGGTAGTGTTCTATGAAAAAAGAATCAGGATGGGGAGATGGTTTCGTGGGAATGTTTGCTGTACAAGCCTGATAACCTGGGTTCGAATCCCCCAATCCATATAAAAGTCCACTCAACACACTTAAAAGCTAGTGTAGGTGTCTGTAATACCAGCGTGCTTACAGTGAGGTAGGAGGCAGCCAGCCTGGCTTTCACAATAACAAAGAGATCTTGTCTCAGATAAAGTAGAAAAGCAAAGGCTGGCACCTAAGTTTATCTTCTAGCCTTCTGCATGTGTGCATCACTCATGATATGCAGGCAGTTACACAAACATACAAAAAGAAAAAAAAAAAAAGAGGGGCTGGAGAGATGGCTCAGAGGTTAAGAGCATTGCCTGCTCTTCCAAAGGTCCTGAGTTCAATTCCCAGCAACCACATGTAATGAGGTCTAGTGCCCTCTTCTGGCCTTCAGGCATAACGCAGAAAGAATATTGTATACATAATAAATAAATAAATAAATATTTAAAAAAAAGAAAAAAAGAGAGCCAGACATGTTGGTACAAACCTGTAATCCCAGCACTTGTGAAGCAGAAGCAGATCATAGGTTTTAGCCCAGCCTGTGCTACGAAGCGAGACCTGTCCCAAAACAAAACAAAAAAATAAAAGTAAGGAAGAGTATTGGAGAGAGGTCTCTTAAGAGCACTTGATGCCTTTGGAAAGGACATGAATTTGATTTCCAGCACCACAAGGTTCATTATCTCTAACTCCAGTTCCAGAGGATCCAATGCTCTCTTCTGACCTCCTTGGGCACCAGGTGTAGTTGGCATTTTCTTTGGGTTGCCAACCAGCTCCCAAATAAAGACAACGAAATTTATCAAGAAACAGGGAAATTTATCAAGAATGAATGCTTGGCTTTAGCTTGGGCTTGTCCCACTAGCTCTTTTAACTCAATTTAACCAGTTTCTACTCATCTGTGTTTTGCCTTGTGACTGTTTTCGGCTCCCTCCACGTCTGGATGGCCCCTGGAGTCTCCTTGTCTTCTCTTTTTTTCTCTCCTGAGCCTAAATTACTCCTCCTTCCTACTCTCTGCCTGAAGCCCTGCTTTTACTTCCTCCCTAGCTATTGACTGTTCAGCTTTATTAAAACAGTCAGGTGCCTTAGGCGGGCAAGGTAAAACAGCAACAACACATCTTTACATCTTTGCATGGTTAAATATTCCACAACAACTAGGCACGGATGTGGTGCATATGTAGATTTGAAGAATGGGCACATACAAGCGCTATATGAAGACAATGGCCACAAGGAACTAGCCCCAGGGTAGCCAGCTAACACTAGCTTCTGGAAGAGACAAGGAAGGTGTCTTCCCTAGAACAGAAGGAACAAGCTCCACCACAGGGACAGATACAGTTCAGCACTGTCATCTTCTGCAACCTGAGGAATGTCCCATGATTGGTTAGGGAATTTGACCCAGGTAAAACCAGATCCTCAACTTCCACACAAAACAATCTCAGGACTGCTCAGAATTGGAGAGTGTTAAAAACAGACAGAGAAAGAAAAAAAGCCACCCAGAGCATGAATGTGGGCTTCTCAAGAGTTATGGTATATTAAATGGCATTTTAAATGCATTTTTTAAAGATATTTATTTATTATGTGCATTGGGGTTTTGCCTGTATGTATGTGTGAAGATGCCAGATTCCCTGGAACTGGAGTTATAGACAGTTGTGAACTGCCACGTAGGTGCTGGGAATGAAGCCCAGGTCCTTTGGAAGGACAGCCAGTGCTCTTAACTGCCGATCCATCTCTATAGACCCTAACACATCTTAAATGGGGATGGGCCGTTAAGAGAGAGGTGCTCTGGGAATGAAGGCACACGCAGTGTAGTGTGTGTGTGGGCTCCTCAAGGGAGAGTAGCAACTAAGTGTCTTAGCAGTAGACTTGTGTATCTTTTTGTTACTTTCAAGAAACATCTCAGAGGGTCGCTAAGAAATTTTTCCCTTTTCTCTCTTGGATGCCTGATAATTCACTCCAGTGGTGCCTCCATGAGATTACAATCTGATTAGGTCAATCTAGATGTTATTAGCATTGCAGAAGGGGATCAGGACATGTCCCTTTAGTGTAAAGGACTTTTCTGATATGATTCTAAGAAAATCACAGCTTTACAGCTGGAAGGGAGAAGGGCATTAAGTAAATGTTGACTATGTTGAAATTCTTTCTAAAGATTTAATTTAGATTATGCTTATGTGTGTGTGGGTATGTGCATGTGGGTGCTGGTATCTGAAGAAAGGAGGCAGTCAAATCTCATGAACTTGGGGTTACAGGCAGTTGAGAGACACCCAGCAGGGGTGCTGTGAACTGAACTCGGGTCCTCTTCAGGAGCAGTACACAGTCTCACTGCTGAGCGGTGCAGAGTCTCACTGCTGAGC